TTGGTAAATATGTCCCTGACCTCTGGTCCTAGATAGTGTCTTGAGAGCTCCCTTATATGTACATGAAACACTTGCTTGACTGAGCCCATAACGTCCTGCTATTTTAAAGGAGATAATCTATCAAGCTGTCAGCTTGTTTTCTTGTGAATGGCAACAACTGCAGTGGAACATGGTCATTCGCAAAAGCACAAGCCCACTGCAACACAAACCACCTACTAGACTAGTCTCTCTCAGAGAAGTGTAGTATCTGGCTTGTGTTGCTGTGGGCTTGTGTTTTTTGTGAATGACTGTAATCCTCTGCAGCTGCTGTCATTAAAAACAAATAAACATAAAAACAGGCTAACAGATTGATACTTTAATCTCCTCTGAAATTGCAAATGGCTGTTTACATGGGTGGCTAAAGAATAGAGTGCTAACTATAATTCCTTCATAATTTAGGCTTCAGTGTAGGGATGAGCTACAGCCAGCACTGACAGTGATAAAAATGTCCTTTTATTTATTAACCACTGCTCAGATTGGAATAGGGAAACGTACAATGTACATTGGGGGATTTAACAATCAATTTATACTTGCGGTGATACTTCTTCATCAAAGTCATAGCAGACTAGTATCTGCTCTTAGGCAAGGTTTTACTTTTAAATGTATACTGTGCAGACAAGTACAGTATGTAAAGTTTAGTAAAGGAATTTTAAAATACTGAAGATTTACATATGTCCCAGTAACATGGAGCAGCTGAAAGGTCATAAAGAGAGGAGAAGAAGATGACCCTGTCAGGAGGTGAAAGGATCAGGAACTTATACTGAATGCTCAGAAAGTTGGTGTGCTAAACCTTTGCTCTCTTCAAGAGCTCCAGACACTGTTAATAACTTTTTGGAGAGATTGTTCTAGATCGGGTGTCGGCAACCCGCGGCTCCAGAGCCGCATGCGGCTCTTTTTCACCTTTGCTGCGGCTCCGGAGCACACTGCCCACCAGGTGACAGGCAATAGGGTCTTCTGTGTGCCGGGCGCCTGCTCCCCTCCCTCTCTCTCGGGCGGCCGCCCCAAAAGTCAGGACTCTGCAGCTAGCCCAGCAATGGGCAAACTATGGCCCGGCGAACCTTTTAATCCAGCCCGCGGAGCGTGGCTAACATTGGCTGTCAGGATGAAGGCGGGGCAGCGTGACGAACTCCTCTCCTCTCACAGTCCGCCCTGAAGACCGGAACGGCGCGGGAACATGGCGAGAGGAACGCGCGGAGCAAAGGTAAGTGAATTGACACAATATGGGGAATGAATTACTATAGGGGGGATGAATTACTATAGGGGGGATGAATTACTATGGGGGATGAATTACTATATGGGGGATGAATTACTATGGGGGATGAATTACTATATGGGGGATGAATTACTATGGGGGATGAATTACTATGGGGGATGAATTACTATATGGGGGATGAATTACTATGGGGGATGAATTACTATATGGGGGATTAATTACTATGGGGGATGAATTACTATGGGGGATGAATTACTAATTACTATATGGGGGATTAATTACTATATGGGGGATGAATTACTATATGGGGGATGAATTACTATGGGGGATGAATTACTATATGGGGGATGAATTACTATATGGGGGATGAATTACTATGGGGGGTGAATTACTATGGGGGATGAATTACTATATGGGGGATGTATTTTCAGTTTTAAAAATGTGGCTCTCAAAATAAACTTCAATCGTGGTTTTGGCGAGATTTGGCTCAGTTGAAAAAAAAGGTTGCCCACCACTGACCTAAGGCTATGATTGTGATTACGACGATACACTGTGGCCCTGATTAACCCTTTGCTCACTGGGCCCTTAAACCCCCTTCATGACCAGAGCGCTTTTTGCAATATATGCAGTGTCGGATTTGTTTTAAATGTTGCAATGGTTTTTTGCGGCTCCCAGTCTTTTTTTCCCTCTCGGAAACGGGTCCAAGTGGCTCTTTATGTCTTAAAGGTTGCAGACCCCTGTTCTAGATTGAGGCTGTGGTTCTCACCACATCTACATCCTTAGTGTTTTCTGTAGGAGAAACCACACCAGCCAGCTGGAGGCACGCTTTCTGACACACATACAACCCTTAAACGTCTTCAAAAAGCAAAGATTGAGTTAATCACCTGCCAGAAAGCTAAGTAAACCTGCTGCTTTTAGAGCAAATTGGTGTTGGAACATTTTACACCCCCTGACAGGGTCACTTTAACAAGTGAAACAAAGTTGTAGGTTCCTTTCAAATATGTGTATTCATATAAACAAAAGATGAATTCTGATAAGTTGACATGAATTACAGCGCGTAACAAATAGCCACTGTACCGTGCATTGCTTTCATAGAACTGTTCGTACTATCTCTCCTTATCTTCAACGGTTTGTATAAGAAAAAAAGTTAAAGAATGTTTAATATATACATAGTTGAGCATTTCTGGGTCATGCTCATGCCTTTCATTGCATACAGAGATATTTGGAAACATTTAACTGGAAAAAAAAAATGAAAAACAGTAAATGTTGCGCTGTGTGTGTAAGATAAACACAGGCATGTTTGCATTTTTCATCTTGCTCGCACTGGGGTTTTCAAAGCTTTTAGGTTAAAAAGTTTAGTATCTCTTAAAGCCCACAAATCAGTGCATGTCTGGATAAATAAATACAACATCGACCTTTAAACACAGTTCAAAGTACGTTTTTAGTTAAAAATAAGAAACTTTTGCTTAATTTGCTGTGAAGATACAGTAATATTGCTTGCAAATCTAATTCTCATGGATATTTCTGGGCTGAGGAAAAAGATTATTTTAATCAAGTTTTGGATGTCATTCCACAAATCTTACAGCTCCAAAACTTACTCAAGGATATAGCAAAGCAGCATAATGGTTTATTGCGGAAAATAAAATTCCTTATTGGAGTGTGCATTTACTGATAAACTCAAAGGATTAACCCCTATGTCTTTGTTATAGAATGGCAGCCAAAAAAAAAGAAAATTGCTCAGTCAAAACAAGTGTGAGCTTTAAATAAAATTCTGTTTGTTTTTTTTAAAAGCTTACCTTTATTTTATATTGGTATGTTGAGATAACATTTTATAGCTTAATGGTTATGCATTATAAACTGAAAATGTACCAAAAACTTACAATATCTACAGAATTAAATATACACTTTTTTACTTTGTAAACATAACACACACATATATATATATATATATATATATATATATATTAGAACAAGGTGCTGTTTTACTACTAAGTAGCCAGAAATTCAAAGCATAATAAAGTGAAAACAGGAAAGTTATGCAATGAGACGCAAACATTATCCTTTTCAGGCAAATTGGTTTACAGTAAAATGGTTTCAGTTATATGTTATTCTGAACATAAACAACCATTTTTTACTAGATGCTGATCTATGTACTCTTTATTAAAACTTTTTCTAAAGACTCTTTAAATATACATTGAACACATGAGCTAAATAACATTACCAGCATTCAAAATAATTAGAACAGTTAGATTTTGATATTAGAAAGTCCAAAGTTATTCATAGACATTAGAACCCTTACAAGACCTGGATTTCCAGAAAAAAACTCGATAGTTAGAGAGTGAAGGCTAGCTATAGCTGCTTTAGATATATATATATATATATATATATATATATATATATATATATATATATATACACTGCTCACAAAAGGAACACTTTGAAAATACATCAGATCTCAATGGGGAAAAATATGCTGTATATCTATACTGATATGGACCGGGTAATGTGTTAGGAACGTAAGAATGCCCCATTGTTTGATTGAAGTGAAAATGATCAATTGAATTGAAAGACACCAGTGTAGGGTCTTACAATGGGTCCAAGGATTTCATCCTGACACCTAATGGCAATCAGGGTAACATTGTCTAGCCTGTAGAGGTCTGTGCATCCCTCAATGGATATGCCTCCCCAGACCCTGAACAATGTTACAGGCAGCATAACATTCTCCACGGCTTCTCCAGACCCTTTCATGTCTGTCACATGTGCTCAGGGTAAACCTGCTCTTATCTGGGAAAAGCACAGGGTGCCAGTGACAGACATGTCAATTCTGATGTTCAGTGGCAAATGCCAATCAAGCTCTATGGTGCTGGGCTGTGAGCACAGAGCCCACTAGAGGATGTTGGGGCCTCAGGCCACCTTCATGAAGTCAGTTTCTGATTGTTTGGTCAGAGACATTCACACTAGTGACCTGCTGGAGGTAATTTTTTAGGGCTGTGGCAGTGCTAATCCTATTCCTCCTTGCACAAAGGAGCAGATACCGGTCCTGCTTATGTGTTAAGGACCTTCTACAATCCTGTCCAGCTCTCCTAGAGTAACTGCCTGTCTCCTGGAATCTCTTCCATGCTCTTGAGACTGTACTGGGAGATACAGCAAACCTTCTGGCAATGGCACATGTTGATGTGCCATACTGGAGGAGTTGGACTGCCTGTGCAACCTCTGTAGGGTCCAGGTATCATCTCATGCTACTAGTAGTGTCACTGACCCTAGCCCAATGCAAAACTAGTGAAAACCAGGAAAGATGAGTAGGGAAAAAAATGTCAGTGACCTCCACATGTAAAACCATTCCTGTTTTGAGGGGCATCTCATTGTTGCCCATCTAGTGCACCTGTTGTTAATTTCATTAAACACCAAAGCAGCTGAAACTGATTAACAACCCCCTCTGCTACTTAACTGACCAGATCAATATCCCAGGAGTTTCATTGACTTGATGCTATATTTTTGAGCAGTGTATATTGTATATCTAATTTTAGTAATATGACATCTGTCTCATCCCTGTCATCTAATGCAGGGCTTAAAATTTTAAGTCCTGAGCTACTAGCCAGGCCTTAAGAGTTACTCGCCACCAACAAACACACACAAACAGAGACACGCTGACAGCTCGAGAGGAGAGGAGAGCCGGTAATCGGCTTTCCGCGGAGGGGACATGTGCACTGATCATCAGGGCACTGATGATCAGTGTGCCCTGATGATCAGTGTGGCCCCAGAAGTGCCACCTGTCAGTGTCCATCAGTGCCAGCAGTCAGTGCCCATCAGTGCCACATCAATGCCACATATCAGTGCATACAAGTGCACATCAGTGCCCATCTGAGCTGCCTTTCAATGTCACCCATCAGTACCAGTCAGTGCCACCTATCAATGCCAATCAGCGCCACCTATCAGTGGCACCTATCAGTGCCAGTCAGTGTCGCCTATCAGTGCGCATCAGTGCTGCCTATCAGTGCCAGTCAGTGCTACCTAACAGTGTCAGTCAGTGCCGCCTATCAGTGCCAGTCAGTGCTGCCTATCAGTGCCATATATCAGTGTCATGTATCAGTGCTGCCTTTCAGTGCCCATCAGTGATGCCTGTCAATGCCCATCAGTGCAACCTACCAGTGCCTCCTCATCAGTGCCCATCAGTGCCACCTATCAGTGTCCATAAGTGCAGCCTATCAGTGCCCATCACTGCAGCCTCATTAGCACACATCAGTGAAGGAGAAAAATCACTTATTTACAAAATTGTATAACAAAAACTAAGAAAAAACGTTTTGTTTTTTTTAATTTTCAGTGGTTTTTGGTTTGTTTAAGGAAAAATAAAAATCCCAGAGGTGATTAAATACCACCAAAAGAAAGCTCTATCTGTCTAAAAAAAAATGATACAAATTTCATATGGGTACAGTGTTGCATGACCACGCAATTGTCATTCAAAGTGTGACAGCGCTGAAAGCTGGAAATTGGCCTGGGCAGGAAGGGGGTATAAGTGCCCTGTAGGCTAGTGGTTAAATAGCCCATCTGGTGGCAACAGGAACTGTGGACATGCTCCCGCGTGCATTGCTGTGTGCATGCGAGTGCCTATGCCCAGTGTTGTGAACAATGTCATGAGTATGCGTAAGTCTATGCGCCAGATGCCTTACTGGAATTCCCTTATAATGTGTTACTGTAGTAATGTGCAGGAAAACGTGTTTTACCACATGTTAACATGAAGCACAAGTGTGAATGGGCCGTTAAGGGGCTTATTTAGGGCAAAATGACAGTGTCTGCAAACCCTTCCCCCAGACCACTAATTCTCACCCACCCCAAGCTCCTTCCTCCAAGTATGGGGTAGCATATACCCTCCTCTTTTGCAACAGTGTTTTTGGTCTGAGGGTCAATCACTATTGGGTGACATTACTAAACTCCCTCTAGACTTCAACAGTAGCACCTGCAATGATAGAAGGTGCAATAGATGATCGCTGGAAAGAGGAGTATTGGTACGCATGGGAGGGGTACTGTTCACAAACTCTGTCTCTTTGCTTTGAATGTGCAATGTGATAGTGTCTCTTTAATATGCATTATTTTGTGCTTTAACATGCATTGTTGTAAGGCAACCCTTTCATTTTTAATGGCGTGCAGGCAAACCACACTGCATGTAAAATCAGACATGAACCTTTTTTTTCAAGGCAATGTACAACAGCAGATGATTCCTAACTATGTACTGTTGTATGCTAAAACTCATATGCATTAAAAGGTTGAGTTCAACTTTTTTATAAATTACAGCTTCCTTTTGTACCAATATACCACTAATGTACCTATGTTGCAAGAAAGAAAAAGCTTTCTCTATACTCTAGGGCAGACATTACCTCAGCCTACAGTTTGTTTCATCAAAAACTCCACCATTACTTCTTGGTATTCATCCTTTGGAGAGTGAAAAATGTTGGAAGGAAGTTCTTTACCAGATGATCTCATTAACACACCCTGCACCTTCCCTCCCCTCCCCTCCCCTCCAGGAGATTGCTCCCACCCACCTCTACAGTTACATGCAAACATTATCAGTGAGCACCATTTTCCCTGAATACATACCTGTGTTTTCCTCTGCTGATCAATTTCCTTTACATTTACCAAAACTATGTAATAGGAGGACCCACCTGAACAATCTGTTCAATTTGTATCAAATCAGGCAGGCCCCTGCGCTGCATAGCTGATGGTAGATCTAAAGGAGATTGTACGATCATATTGCACAGTGTATGGCCACCTTAACCTCCCTGGCGGTATGATTATTTCAGATTTTTTGGTGCTGAAAGCGGTACCATTTTTTTGCATGGAAATATGTATTTTTTTTATTGTAGGCTGTAATTTTTAGGAAAAACTCACTGAAATCTGTCCGAACAAGAGTCTAGTAAACATCCCGGGTATGATAAAATTTGAAACACAAAATCATAAATTATAATTTAATAAATAATCATAAACATAATATAAAAATAATAAAAAATTTAATTCAATAATATAATCAAACCAAAAACACTGAAATGTGAAAATATAGCGCCAAGTTCACACATCGCTGAGCTCAGTCGCAAAATCGTTTTCAGTTTCTGATGACGAATTTCCCCCACGAATCATTATCACTCAATTCTGTAAGTGGTTCTGATTTACTATCGCTGTTCTCTAGCTGATCTAAACCGCTTTTGACCTAAAGGGACACTTTTTGGACGCCATGGACATTTCTCAGTTTCCAGGCAGAAAGAACAGACAAAATGCAGGCAGGGCGCAGGACAAAGCACTAGGGACAATATGCATGTGAAATAGGTTGAAACAGCAATGTTTTACTGTGTAAAATGAAAAAAAAAAAAGACATTTTTTAAAATTTTTAAATTTCCCGTCGCCGGCGGCGGCGGCGGCGCCCGTACGTCCCGACGTCACAGGGACAGGACACAGAAGCCGGATGCCGGCATCGGCCGGAGGAGATGGCCGGGGACGCTGCAGGGGACACATCGTGGGAGCGCAGGGTAAGGTAAGTGAAGAACACATGCCGGAGCAGCGCCGCATGGTAAGCCCGAGTGTAGCTCGGGGTTACCGCTTTTGGTACTGAAATGTTACCCCGAGCTACACTCGGGAATACCGCCAAGGAGGTTAAAGTAAGATGTAGGAAAGTGGGTGGAAATAAAAACGTGTGGTATAGTAATGATGGAGGCATGATCCAGAGAGGTAAACACACCCTATTCTGTGATGCAGTAAGGAAGTGCATGATGGGACATGCGGTTTCCTGGAAGGTCAAATTAAGTTACAGGAAGTGATGGGCTTGGAATGCATTTTTTTATGAACAGAGGTGGAGATTCAAAGCTTCCATGGACTAGGTGAGCAAGAGATAAACACATTGTGATGGCTTGGGCAGAAAAGACATTAGAAAAAGTTTGTATTTGTTATGAAAAGTGAAATTCTGCCTTAAAACATGAACTTAGCCTTTAAAGTGGTAGTAAACCGTAAAAAAAAAGAAAACAAAAAATCTTCTCCCTGCAAGTTAAGAGCATAATGTGTTAGTATGCAATGCATACTAACACATTATGAAAGACTTACCTGAAAACAAAGCCATGTGGAGCACTGTCTCGGGTTCCTGGGGCTTCCCTCTACACCTGATGTTCCTTCTACGTTTGCAGGCTGCGGCCGTTTGATTGACCAAACCACAATGACATCACTCCAGCACATGCACGTAGTGAGAGTGCTGGTGACATCACTGGTGCAGCTTAAGTAAATATCTCCTAAATGGTGCACATTTAGGAGATATTTACTGTACCTACAGATAAGTCTTATTATAGGCTTACCTGTAGGTACAAGAGAGACAAAAAGACTTTACTGCCACTTTAAGTTGCACCGACAGGATTTGTTGAGATGCCATACAAAATGGATGGCACTGCAACTCACTGCACTGCAGATTGTGAATTACCACAGTGCAGTGGTGTGAAGTCAAACTCAAGGTTTTTTAGCTTAAAATGTGTAAGGGAAAAAACAAAAAATTTCCTATCAAATACTTACCATAATTTTTCTTTCCTGAAGGACTTAGTCCCACCCTCTCTTCTCCTATAGGACCCCACTCCCATAAATTTTTGCTCCTCGCCAGAGGCCATGTTCCATAACTAGCCTACTCATGGCATTGGGAGGGTACTCCTACTGCCATGGAGTCCATCACGAAAGGAAAATTACGGTAAGTATTTGATAGGAAATTTTCCGGTTTCCTGACAGACTCCATGGCAGCTTCCATGATCTGTATGGGAACTAACTAGCCATACACACACGGATGGGCAGAAACTCAAACAAAGACTTTAATTTGCCCCGCCAACTGACAGGACTTTCACACCAAAATTAACAGAGGCTCTACACAGTAATGAGCCATAAAAGTGTTGATTGAGGACCATGAGGCTGCTCTGCAGATCATCTCAAGGGCGACATGCCGGGAAGCCCCCAGGACATAGCCACACTTCTGGTTGAGTGTGCGGTCACTGCTTCTTAGCTCTGTAGGCCATTTGGATGGCCTGGACGATCTAGGCCACAATTAACCTAGGAGACGCCCAGTCTCCTTTACTCTTCCCATGGAAAAGGATGAATAGATGGAAGGATGCTGTGACCCGCAAGTATAGCCTTAAGGTCTTGCCTACATCCAGGGGGTGAGCTTCATTGACTCCCAAGGCTCTAAATTTTGGCAGGACAATCTCTTGGTTCTCATGGAAGACCAAGGTCACTTTAGGATTAGAACCTAGCAAAGGGATGAGGACCACTCGATCCAGGAAGAATGTAAAAAATGGCTCTTTACAGCCAAGGTTCCCAATTTCAGAGACTCTTTTTGCCAAGATAACTGCCACCAGAAATGCCACTTTGATGGAGAGCTCCCTCACTATGGGAGGCCCAGCTGATTCTGGCGCACCTCCAGAGAAGAAGTTGAGGACAAGCGGCAGGTCCCATTTTGGGAACCTCAGTTTCTTCTGGGGCCTCAACCTTACTGCCCCTTTGAAGTATTGCCGAACCAGAGAGTGGTCGACCCATGATACACCAGTGAAGGCCAAGATGGCTGAACGACAGGGGCAGGTCCAGGAATGACTGCAGGAATACCAGGATATCCTGAACCCTCAGATTACTAAAGGATTCATCCACTGTCGAGATATAGTCCGTAAACTTAGACCAGACTCTTCCATAGACCCTGTTGGTACTTGGTCTTCTGGCATTCATCAGGGTATGACTTCAGCAGGACAGCCTAAGGCCTCCAATCTCCCCTCTCAAGAACCAGACCATTAGATGAAGCCAGGTTGGGAAAGCGTGAAGAATGGCCCCCTGCGACAGCAGGTCTGGCCTGAGAGGGAGAGGAAGCTGAGCTGCGCCAGTAAGGGAAACCATGACCTCTTCAGCCTGTATGGAATTACAGCCACTACTTCCACCGCTTCTGCTCTGAGCCTCCGAAGAAACCTGAAGATGGCAGGGACTGGGGGAAATGCATAGGCCATGCAAAACCCCCACTGATCCCTCAGAGCATCTACCCCGAAGGCTTGGGGATAGCGATTCTTGGTGTAGAACATCCCCAGTT